CGGGCAGTGTTTCGTTCTGCTGTGCATGGGGTCGCTATGAGTCGGAAACGACTCGACGGCACTTAACAACAACAACAACATATATATAACAACAACATATATATGCCTATATGTTGTTAGGTGCTGTTGAGTTGATTCTGACTCAATGCATGAAAACACTGCCTAGTCTTGTGCTATCATCCTAATCATTGTTATGTTTGAGCCACTGTTGCAGCCACCGTGTCAATCCATCTCATTGAGGGTCTTCCTCTTTTTTGCTGACCCTCTACTTTACCAAGCATGAAGTCTTTCTCCAGAGACTAGTCCTTCCTGATAATTGTCCAAAGTATGTGGACGAAGTCTTGGCATTTTCGCTTCTAAGGAGCAGTCTAGCCATAGTATTTCTTCCAAGAGAGATTTGTTTGTTCTTCTGGCAGTCCTTGGTATATTCAATATTCTTTGCCAACACCATAATTGAAAGGCATTTAACTTTCACTCTACATGTGTATATGTGTGTGTATGTATGTATATGTGGATTTTTTTTTTTTTTCCCAGAAACACTTTCTCCAAATCTTTAAAATTGAATGGGAATATTCTTAGTTTCTTCTCAAACATGCTGATACGAAGAAGAATTTCAGCGGTTCCTTCTAGTACTGCAGTGGAGGCAGCTCTAGCTCTTAGCCTTGCTGGAAGATTCTCTTCACATCCCCTTGCAGTTCTCCTCCCTCAGGGCAGGGATGTGAGTGAGAAACAAGGAGAAGGCATGGGGACTGGATCCAGGAGAGGAGTGACAGGTTCCCTGTGGGAGGTCTGCACCTTGTCACAGAGCCTTCTGGGCTCAGGTCTGTGGTGGCTGCGGGAGAGCCAGCTCCAAAGCTGTGTGGTTGGTAACATTTCCGGCTGCCAGTGCCCAGCCAATCAGTGACAGGCCCCGTCAGCTAGGGCAATGACACATGAAATATGATAATTTTCTGCTAAAGAGACCTGGAAGGAGGGGAGGGAAAGGAGAAAATGTATGCGTGTGTGTGTGTGTGTGCGCGCGCACCTGTGTGTGCCTGCAGTGAGGTGGGAAGGTGACAGTGCATCCCTTGGCTTTAGGGGTTTGGTTTGCAGGACTAGGAAAGGGGCTGGTGGGCTCTGATGCTAGGGGCTAGAGGAACTGGCCCCTGGGAGTGACTGTAGGAATAACAGTGTTGCTCCTCAGGTAAGCTGGTGCCGCTCCTGGGCGGGAACCAGAAAGAAGCAGGCAGCTCCATTCTGGAGCTACTGGGGTAAAAAAGAAACTGTAGAAGGCATTTTCTTTCCTTTCAAACCTAAGTGAGGGTAGGAGTTTTTGTTTCTTCTTATAGTGTTACCTCTTTGAAAGCCAAAATAATACTGGAATAAATGCCATCTGAGGTGCCTAAGTACTTGGACTTGGGGGATATTAATTTTTATTTTTTTGTAATCTACTTAGGGTTGTTTATCCCCTCACCTCATTTTTCTACCTCCATAATCAACCTAGCCCTTAAGAAAAAGTTTTTTTAAAAAACATCCACAAACCTTAAGAAAATCTTGAAGGAGGGGCCTAATCTGTCTGTTTGGGTGGTGATTTTAATTCCAGATTCTGGTTGAAAAAGATATATTTTGGCCAAAAAAAAAAAAAGATATATTTTGAAACAGTATCTGGTCCTAGATTCCATTATAGTTTGGAATTTGTGATAGACCTCTTGTTAGGTTTGAGACAGGGAACTTGAGCCTGGAGGGCAGGACAGGGCAAGGAATGTCCTATGGTTAATTCTGAGGTGGCAGAGGTACCCACTTCCTTCTGTCACTTGTGCGGGCTTCCTGGTTCTTCGTCAGCAGTTAGGGGCTGGTAAGGGGTGACACCTTGTGCTGACAAGAGCCCCTACATGGGTCTTTAGAAGTGAAGGATCCTACTGTTTACATAACATGCTGATTAGTCACTGAATCGCTCATCATCACTGCAATAAATATGTGTGCCTAGTTTTACACCTTGCATTCTTTCTATATATGCACATGTAAGAAATTCTTTTAAGGCATAGATAAATGAAATCATTATCACTGCATTCAAGCCTGCAGTGGGACTGGCTGCTTGGGTGTGGAGTGACAGCTATTCAGAAGTGATAATTGGTGTACTGTATCTTTAAAAGGTTAAAAACCCCGTTCGGAAAAAAAAAAAAAAAAAAAAAAGGCCTGGACTCTTAGTGGAAAAGACAAGAGAGGCATGGGTTGGCTCTGGATTCAGAAAACAGCTGCTGATTAGATTCTGTGTCTGCAGGCTGAATTTATTCCGTGTTTTTCAGCAGCAGGAATTCAAGAGGGATGCTTCTGTTTGGGTTTCTGATCATGATTTATATTTATTCAGAGGAATAACAGAGGGTGGATCTGTTCCCGGCGCGAACGAGCATGCTCACAACCAGCCGACTCTCCCATTATCCAACTGCCTAGTTTTGGTGCTTCAATGTACATGTATATTCAGTGTGCATATGTGTGTATACAAACACGCATGCCAACCTGGATGGACATATGCACGCACAGGTTCTTTTTTGAGGAAAATTATTTCAATAAGGTCTCTACCCCTTACTTGAAACAGGTGTTCATGAAAAAAAATGCACAAAATCCTGCCGGGCCGGAATAATTCATGAAGAAGGGGCTGGATCCGTGGGTCAGAGAACACAGGACCACTTTGCCATCCCAAGGCAGAAGGTAGGGACTCTGGATTTTTATTTGGCGGTTGGATTCCTTTCGCCTTATTTTATTTATTGTGTTTTTTTTCTTTTTTTGCCTGCTGCCACCACTGTAGATGAAATAGGGAGCTGCGATTCCATTTTGTTGTTGCCTTTCATAGGCAAGGTGTCAGATTGCAGAGGAGCCGACCTGCTCGGTGGGGCCGGCCGGGTGGGCAGCTGTGTTGTCTTGGGTCCCCTAGGTGGGCTGTGCTCCCAGATCGGCCTGGTAAAGGGGGAGCGGCGCGAGCCTCAAGTAACCTCAGCGCGTCAATCAGCCGCGGCGGCGGCGGCGGCAGCGGCAGTGGCGGCGGTAGGGCTGTAACCCTGTGCGTGCCGCTCTCTTGCTCGCTTACAGCCGCTGGCTTGGCGCTGGTGCACTGTAGCCCTGGCTGTCTAATGAGCCTCAGCTGTTGGACAAATGGATCGCCTCCTGGCAACACCTGCATTTTCTTCTGCTGCCCTGGCTGCTGCTTGGGGATTGATTGTTCAGATGGACTGGAATGGTATCTGTTGATTGAGAATGACATTCATTTGATTCTGGGTGCCAAGAGAGGGGGGAGATCTCTCCATTCCCTTAATCCTCGCCCCCTAAAAATCTTCTTAAAGCAAAATCATTCCCTTCCCCAAAAAAGCCCAAACTCCCATTCTGTTGGGGAATTCTCCCCTCCAAGTTATGCCCCATATTTTACTATTTTTCAAAATTTAAAAGGATTGTTGGTGTTGAAGGGCCCCTGATGAGATTGTAATGGCAGCCCGAGGATTCCTGAGTATGCAGACACCTGAGCACAGGTAGACTTGGGCAGGAGAAGTGGTGTAGAGGAACTCTCCTGGTGGCATGGGTTTAGTTTAATGGGGTTCATTTCCTGCACAGATGCAGACATGGACTACTTCTATGGTTGGGCTCTTTCTTGAACATGGCAGAGGGCAGGGGTTATGGTTGCAGGCAGAAGGGTCTGCAATGGTGCCTTGGTTCTCTTCCTGATGCACACCTTGGATTTTCTGACACCCTTGGCATTTGTAGCTGAAACAGCCAGGTGGCCCCCAGCCTCATTCTGTGCTTCAGTTTTGCTAAAAATTGCTTGTGTTCTGGGTGTCAGTGGGGGCAGGGCAGTGTGAGGGAGTGAGGTGTGCACTGAACTGAACTCCACAAATGATCTCTAAATCTTGTTTGTGTGATTATATAACTCCAACTAATGATCAGACTGTGGGCCCAAGCAGCTCCCCACCATCTCCCAGTCCTCTGTGCTCTCCCAGACTGAAGAAGTTAGGTCCTACAATTGTTTAAGGTGTTTTTATGTAATTATGTGTGTGCTAGGGGTGGGGACTGTGTGGGAAAGAGAAAGAATTATTCGAACAACTTGACCATGAACAACACAGGGGCAAAACCATGGCATGGCATTGGTTTTGGACTAGTGTTGATCTGGCCACCCTCCCACATCCCTTTCAGTAACTTGCTGCGTATGTGAACTTTCATTTGGTAACTTTACCCTTCCTGGGCCCTTGAGAAGTTTGGATTCACACCTGCAGGGCCCCAGGTTCCTAACTCTTCTCTGAATCCAGTGTGATCTGGGTTCATGCGGTTTCGGTTCCAACTGTTCTTCATGCTGTCTGCCTAGAGGGCTAGGTGTGGGATAGAGTTTCTGTCACAGCAGAGTTTCAGTTTTGCTCTGGGTTGGGCTGTAGTAGGCTTCTGATGCTGGCTAAGCTGTTTGACATATGCTCTTTAAAACTGTGATGACTTTCAGGGGCTGGAGGCCCTTCAGTCTTGCATTAAAATGTTGTGGGGGTGTTTGCAAGGTAGGAGAACAGCTGTTCCACTGACATCTGCAGGGAGGAGAAAGAGGGTTTGTGTAACACTTAGCTCTTTCTCCTTCCTCCCCACTCTATTTTCTTAAGGCATCCACAGGACTCAGAATGGTTTATGTGGGCCCTCCTATCCTGTCATATGCCTTAGCACCCTAGCCTAGAGCTGCTGAGTGGACTTGTTAATTTGGTGGCAGGATCTGGCCCCTTAAGGCTAAGATTTTTTTTTTTTTTTGTATGTAATATCCCAGTGGGCTTGCTCTAAGGGCCTACTACTAATGTGTACTCTGTGGCGGTGGCTCAAGTGTTGCTCAATTGGCACTACTGCTGAATATCTCTGCCTGTTGTATTTTAGTAGCAACAACCCTTCTTGGAGAAGTGTGTGCTGCCTTTGGTTCCTTGCCAAGTAAGCCATTGAGGCATTTAGTGTGTGAAAGGTAACAGGCAGGAAGAAGACACATTTAGTGTTAAGTCCTGGCAGGTTTCAGGATCCGAATTGGTGGAGATAACGTTAAGAAGGCTGTGTAACAAGAGGATAGCTTTTCATGTGTTTCTCTCTCCTTGCTCTGTGAGTTCCCTGATGTCTTTTGAGATTTTTCTGCCCTCTATGCTGCGCACTGAGGAGGTCCAGACATGCTATTCTTCATTTCATTTCCTGAAGAGCCAAAGCGTATTTACAAATCTACAGATGCACTAGGCATGCTGGGCAGAAAACCCAGGCTACATGAACAGGCTAGACTTGACCAGAGTCCTTGACCTATCTGTTCATCATCTGTGAAAATGGGAGCAGTTATCATAGCCTTAGCAACCCCACTGAGATATCTTGAGAACAAAATGAGAAAGGGTGAAAAGTAGCATATGGTCTATTATTGATAGGCATTAGGATAGTATCCCAACAATCTGCAACTCACATTTACACAATTTTATTTATCAGGTTAGGACCTACGAGATAAAGCCAAGAGAGATGTCATAAGTCTGTGAGCTACATACAGGTCATGTATTTTGATCATTAGAGAAAATTTTAGACCTTTTTTTAGAACCACTTTTTTTTTTTTTTTTTTAATTGTGATTTGGGTGAAAATTTACAGAGAAAATTCACTTTCCATATAGCAGTTCACATACACTTTGTCTCATGATATCGACCACAATTTACCACAGTGCAACAGCTCCCCTCCCATTAGTTACCTCTTCCCTGTGTCCATCCCTTCATGCACTCCTGCCCCCTGAGCTGTCCCCCTGTGCATAAACAGCCCTTCTTTCTTTCTCCCATAATTGTTCTCTCCAAGGAGTGTATCTACCTCAGGTAAATGTTCAACTCATATGCCTGTCTTTTGCTTGGCTGGAAGCCACAGGTATGGGTTCAATTCCAGACCTGAAGGGCAGCTAAGGGCCATAGTCTCAGTGGTTCCACCAGGCTCTCTCAGACCAGCAAACCTGGTCCCCCCCCCCCTTTTTTTATATCTCCAAATGATTTTGAGTTTCGTTCCACACTGTTCTCCCTCTCTATTCAGGATCTCCTACATAGATCCCCTTCCAAGTGGTTGACAGTGGTGGCCGGGCACCATCTAGTTCTTCTGGTCTCATAGTTGTATAGGCTGCAGATCAGATGGTGTACCAGTTGCTAGGACTAATTGTTTCCATGAATTTTTGGTTTTCTTCATTCTTCTTTGCTCTGGATGAGGAGAGACCCATCATTGCATCTAGATGGCAGCTTGCAAGCTTTTAAGAGCCCAGTTGCTACTCGCCAAAGTAGGAGGTGGAACAATGTTTTGTGTAGTATGTTATGCCAATTGAGCTTGATGTCCCCTGCAACTATGGTCCTGAACCTACAGGTTCAACTACTTGGTCCCTCTGGGTAGCTGGCTGTGCCCAAGCAGTGAGTACAACTTTGCCCCTTGTTAGCTCTACTATACACCTGGGAATTCAGATCATACACATAAACTTATAGGACCATTGTCTGCCAACCCTATACATGTTCTTGGGTACGCTCCCCACTTCATAGACATACCTACTAGTTCAGCCTGTCCACCCATCTAGAACCACTTGTTAATACTTAATGCTGCAAACTTCTGGGTTATTAGTTTGCTAAACCCACCTAGCAAATTGGAAGAGATTGATAAAGTATTATACAAATGCTATTAAAATTAAAATATCAGTATGAAGGAATAGCAGCATAAGAAACAGAAAATCTAAAATAAATAAGGCACAAGAATTCAAAGCATAGAATTCTAGAACTATTTTATGTAAATAATTCATGAAATTTTGTATATTCCAATGGGTCTTCAGCACTCTGGTTTGTAAATGATGCTCACAGTGACTTGAACATGATGAATATAAGATACTGTTACTGAACTGTACATGTGAAGAATGTCCAACTTAAGAAGGCATGAGATTTGAAGTATACTTCCAAATGATTATTGAAGAATAATGCTTAAAGGAGAAACTACAGCTATGAAAAATAACAGTACCCCTGAGTTTTCTGGATAGTCAGGAGTTTACTGATCAAAATTATATTGCAACTATAAAGCCCCCCTACTAAAATTAATTGAGAACTTTATGATTGTCTGCTGAGATTTCACAGGGAATTATTATGCTGTTGTTAGTAGTGCCTATATTCTAACATTTGATGATACAGAAAATATTAAGAAAGACGCAGACCTTGGTCTGTCTTGTTGCGACAGAGAGAGGCACCTAGAGCCCTCCAACTTGGTATCTTTAAGGTAGATTTGGAAGAGATCTGATGACAGAAAAGATGGAGCAGGAAAGGACGACTCTAATGGTATCTGTTTCTTGCGCCAATGCAGGGAATGTAGACTCACCATTATCAATGTGTTCTTCTGTCAGAAAAATGAGTTCAAGATGTCATGGCAACACCCTCATGCTAAGCAATGGTGTTTACTCAATCAGACATTGTGCTCAAACCTGGAAGGAGGTCTGAGTTACACAAGCTATGCTAAGCTTGGTCTGACCTTCTGCTGTGTGTTCAGTTACCATTTGCTCCAAACAAAAGCAGCTGGAAAAGCAAGAGTAGAGGAAAACGAATGCTGACAAATTTTAAAGAACATTTTAAAATTCAATACATCTGTGGAAAATGTGAAGACCTAAATGAAAAGTAATGGAAGAGTGTTGCTCACTTTCTAGAGGCACATACTTCCAGTATTTTGGTAACTTATT